TCTAACATGAAGTAAATGTTCGACTCTGCTGAAAAAGAGACTTTGGTCTCCGCAGGAGCATTCCAGTAAAATAATCCTAAACAAACAGGAAAAAATTGTTTTCTTTCAATTGATAGTCACTGTATTTGCATTTGAAAGGCAAACAAATTACTGTGTGTAAAACTCAAGTGCCTAATATATTTATCTCGTTTGTTTTACAATGATTTTCAAAGGTTAGAAAATGAAAAGGCAACCCCACGCGAGTGGGAAAGAGCTGGGGGAGGAAGAGAAGTCTTGTTTAGAGGGAAAGGAAAGGGAGAATCTCTTCCAGTATTTAATAACGTAGCGAACATCTTACTGTTAAAATGATAAATTCTGAGTAATTTATACGGAACACACTAAAAATACAGATTTGAGTCAGCTTGATCAAAATAAACCTCAGACATCGCATTTGCTTTTTCCTTTTATGGGCAGATTCTAGACCTTTGGAGCCCATGTTTTATTACAGCCAAACGCTTTGAAGCATGAACAAAACGATGAGTTTATTTAAAACAGGGCCCCAGTCCAATGAACCGCTTGACTTGTGTCAGGAAGGACAAACCACCACCTCAGAGAGTCGTATCACAAGTTAAGCCAGTCCTCCTAAACTCCCTCTGCCATGAAGTCCCGACTCCCTCCAGGAAAGCTTCAGTGATGCCACATCGCTGCGGCACCAGAAAAAGCTGACGGAGGTAGGGAGAGAGGGAGCAAACTGTGAAATTCAGAGGAGGTGCTGACTTCGTATTCAATTGGACACAGATAGGGCTATTACTAAGCAAGGAATGCCTAACGTCCTCCATTCCCCTTAACCGTTTGGAGCCTGCAGAAGCAGCAGTCACGTAACAAAATCCTGGCTTTGGAGAGAAAGGAGACCTGGCGCCGAGGCCTGGGACAAACTCCTAGCCTGACAGGGACTTTTTAGGAACCTGGACAAGCAGCTGCACATCACATTCCCACCCACAGGAACATTCTTTTTCTGCCAGATTTTCCCTCTTCTACCTAAATCCTAAGAGCTTAGCGTCAGGTCCAAGCTTCCCCGACAGCAGCTAGCGCAACGAGAGCCTGCTCCTGGCCCGGACCGCCAGCCAACACAAGCGGCAAGAAACAGCGACGTCAGCATTTCAGTGCAGGACGTGGAGCCGCTTCAGAGGACTGCGGCTACAAGGCAGTTCAGAGAGCGGGACTGAAAACTGAGAATAGGAAGATGCGGGCTGGAAACAGGAACCGCTAGCCTAGAGGAACACGAATTTTATTTTCCCTTGTTAGAGGGTCCGATGTAAAACGCGGTGGCCCACAAAGGGGTTGCCAGGCAAATCTGTGCTGGGGGCTGCTGTGCAGCAAGTCCGATCCTTCTGGGAAGCATCTGCACTACAGGGGAAGCGCTGCATACCCTGTCTGCATACGCCTACCAGCTCTCACACGTCCTGGATGTGTCAGACTCGTTGCACATGCACTGCGCAACTCCTTCCCTGCGCACGCAGTCAAATCCAACCTACTCGGAGCACGAGGGACTTCTGTTCATGCGGCACACCTACACGAGGCCTGATGTTTCCTGTCAGTGCCAGAGCCCCTGAGCTTGTACTGCACAGTCAACCCATAATTGTGCAGAGAGCACATCTGACATTTCTGCACGACTGTACATCTTGTCAAAGTTTCTGGAAGAAAAAAGGCGGCAGCCAGAGAAATACAGCTTTATGGAATTGTGAGAGAGATTATTGCTCCTATCCAGGGACAGCCAAAAAAACACTTCGCAAAACTTGAAGAGACGGCCTTCTCCTGTAAACTGGAAGTGCACTTCCTACTGAAAAATATTTCTTGGCTGAGATCTTGGAACAGTATTTTTGTTTTTTTGGAGACCTGCCAAGTATACATAGTGCATGCAAAACCAACTTCCAAAACCATGCAAAGTCCACAGCTGCTAAGATGCTGAAATGCGCTTAATCATTAATCCTGTGACACCCAGCCCCAAAATCAAATACTCTGACCTCTTTCACTAGCGCCCAAAACGGACAGCTCAGCCTCTGAAAGAAACTGTCAGATGAAAAAGCACGGGTACTGGTTAGTATGACAAATCCTAAAATATTTAGGCAGTCAGCACTTAAGAAAACTGAAATTTAAGCAAACAAATCAAGTTGGATTGAGGATCTGAACAAGAGTTACTTACATAGTTAATCTCGGAATGATAAAATTAGATATATGTTTAAGTTGTTTTTTAAAAAGGTTAGACGTTGGGAAATAAATCCGTATTTTGTTCAAGCGGTAAAGTACAGGATTCGTTCATAGATAGAAAATAAATCCGTATTTTGTTCAAGCTGTAAAGTACAGGATTCGTTCATAGATATCAGGGGACAAAACGTGCTGCAGTTCTATCAACAGCTCTGTAGTCTACTTGTGCTACTATTACATTCTTGGTAGTTTTAGAATGAACTCGCCGAAAGAACAAATTTGAGAAATATGACGCCTTTGTTCTAGTAAACTTCAGCGGGGTTTGGCTTTACAAAGATGAGACCAAGTATGCAAAATTGCAGCTAGTGAAGTCACAGAGCAGAAGATCTATGGTGTGGATGCGCTGCAAGGTTTTCCTTGCCAATACGTGCATTAAAATCTTGGACTTGAATTACATTAGAGAATTACTGAATCTTGAGACAGAGCTATAAAACTTGTCTTTACCGAGCCTCTTCACTAGGTGAACCGTCAACAACGTAGCGAAGAGACTGAATTCCCATTAAATCAGAAAACGTTTCCTTCAGTCGATTTTCTTCAATCGCCCAAATATTTTTTGCCCTTATGTGAGAACTGGCTACGTTATATAATTTTCCTCGAGGAAAGATAAAATCTCCTCCATCTTACAACCAACAACTCCAGTAGGGTTCAAAAGTCAGCCTGCAGAATGTCTTATGTGGGCAAATATATACAGCTGTGCTCTTATTTTAGAAAGCTGAAGCAACTTGCTTGCATTTACAGCATGTGTTGTTGCATTGCTTTGGGGATAGTGGAAGGAGCTTTCTCCTCCTCTCCTCCACTTTTTTTTTTTTTTTTTTTGATCCCAAGACGATATTTGATCCCAAGTTGAATTACCTGATGGAAAATAGGGTGATATTTCTATTCTTGTGCATTATGAAAGAAGAATCAAATAAGCGAGTTAAAAATATCATCTCAGTTCATCCACTTCTCAACACACCTGCTGTTCTCCATTTCAGCATCAAACTCTTCCAGGTCAAAACTGAAATCATTACTAGAGAAACCAGAACGATGAAGACATTGAGCTGCCAGTTTCTAATGCAGCATTACCAAGTTACTGTCAATCAGCGGCTGTGATTTTTTTAAAAAAAAAAAAAAAGCATTCAACGCTAAAGAAATATTAAGAACAATTATCTCGTGTCCAATTGGAACGTTAGACCTCTAGACAGAAGGGTTCATTCCTTGCAGCCTGCCAACATTTTAGTAAATGACACTGGCCCTTTAACAGATGGGATACATGCTTCTTAGCTTGCCAGGATCCTAATAAAAGACACTGGCTTCTTTAAAATGAAGGACACATACCTCTCAAATTGCCAGTATCCAAATTGGGAGTCAGCAGTTTAAAATAAAGGCGCTCATCAATCTGGCAAAACCAGGGACGCGATATGAGAATTTTAAAACAAGTGGTACAAAGTGTCTCCTGACATTATTTAACTGGGATGAACTAAATGCTGAAACATTGGCTAACCATATCCCATAGCAGCACTGCAGCAACTGGATACCTTACTAGCTTTTGAAATGAGCAGAGTAAACATTAGCAGCAGACTTCAAGGGTTGGGATTTGGATTTCTTTTTTGTGTTGTTATTTAAATTGGCCCCATTAGCTGCAGTCATAAGGCCGACCGTGCAGTGCACGACCCGAAAAGAAGCAGGGCATCTTTTCCCTGGGCGCTGACCAACACCCCAAGGGCTGGCCCGTGTGCCAGTCCACACATTGAGGAGAGACACCCCTTGCCCCAAGGGAGCAGCAATACCTACTTCCTTCCCATCTCCCAGCAGCAGGACACTCCAGCGAGGGAAGGAGACCTCCAAAAGCTTTCCCCATGCCTCAGTAACCCATACTACTGCAGCTTGAAAAGTCTTACAGCAACCGCAGAAATCTCAAGAGCCAGTGTCGTGGGGTCATTAACTTTTCTGATGGGAGCCACCAGAAAGAGCAAAGACCCTCTTCGGCATACCACGAATGACACCTGGATGAGCTGGGGAAGGGCTAAGAGGAGTTTGCTGAACCTTGTCAGCACTGACAAGCTCTGCCCAGCTCCTGAAGGGCAGACACAGGGGAAAGCAGAAAACTATAAATTCTCTTTGTCTGGAAAGATAATGAAGCTGTTAAGACTGGGCAGGAGAAGGGAGTATTTTATGAACAAGACAGAGAACCGGGGTTATTTACATCGGTGGTTCTTCAGAGCTCACCTTGGAAATGCTCACAGCGGGCACGTGTCCAGCAGCGCCTGAGGGGGGAAAGAAGCTGAGGCTCCCACTGCTTGGCGACCGTTGCCTCTGACCCTTCAGGCTAATTTTAACCGTTTGAATCTGCTCTCTTCCTATTGTCTCTGGGCCTCCACAGCATTCGTTGACCAGCTATTACTACGGCATGGGGCTAAGCAGCAAACTTGTGCAGAAAACAACATACTAAGCACAAAAGCTACCATGTGATAGCACAGCCAGCTGGAGCCAAGAGGGCCTGGAGCATGGGAAAACACAGCAGAGGCGAGGGGGAGAGAAGGGAGGAGGTTCTTGCTTTAGGAAAAGCAGAGAGAAGAAAATCAACAAGTCAGCCGGCCTGGGGAACGGGCGGAGGGGAAACGGGCTCTGAAGGAACTCATCTTCAGCAGTTTCACAGAAGCTAGGATCTGAACAGCAGCTCCCACAGGGAACGCCCGGAGAGCGCGGCAGGCGGAAGGGCAGCCCCGAGGAAGCGTTTCGCCTGGTGAACAAAGATGCTGACACCGTTTACTCACCTTTCACGTTCGTCTTTCATTTTCTCCACTTCCTCCTCTTTAAGTACGCTGTGCTTTGGATTCCCCTTCTGATCCACTTTCCCACTTTTGTCTTCTTTCTTCTTTCCAAATCTGTTTAAGGTATCAAGGGAGGGTCAGGAGGAAACGATTACTACAAGAATAAACAGTATTTATCTATCATAAAGCACAGATTTTAGGCGATCACGACACTGTGAGCTTTTATCTTATCTCTCACCAACGTTGCACATTGCAAAACACGTTACAAGTTTTAAAGAGGCTATGCGCCATGTGAAGGGCTGATTACAAACCGACTTGGACCTTGAACACTGTTGGAAAGAGAAAGTTTAAAAAAAAAAAAAAAAAAGCACCCAAGCCTGATACGCAAGGCACTGCCGGGCTAGACTATTATTAGTGCACATTTTAAAGTGGCTGAAGGTTCTTCTTACCGCAGGACGGCTCTCTGAAAGTAATCTGCCGCGGCTGCGGTGCCAGCACACAGCCCGGACCACATGTTCTGCTCTTATCATAACTGTTGCCTCTCACTCAGGGCTGGTCTTAATTTAAGGAGTTGTTCTTTGTTCAAACTGAGTGTGCAATCAGACAACAAGAAAAAACCCTGCTATGTTCCAGGTGTACGAAGCTAGAGAGTTCCTAAGAGCTCCTTCTGAAAGTACATCTTGGTCTGTCCTTCTGCCTAGTAATATATATAATCATTTAACATTTATGCTGTGAAAGCGCTCCAGAGATGCCGGCCAGTGCTGGGGCCACACTCTTCTATACGCTTGTGCAAACACGCGTAGCATAACAGTCTGCTTCACGCAGCCTGTACAAGGTGACTAAACTGAGGAGCTGCATTGCGTTTCTCACAGAGCTAATCAGAATTCTGGGTCAAATATGTCAAATATGCTTATGAATAAAGGGCCAAAAAGTATTAAAAAAAAAAAAAAAAGCCCCTTCTCTTCTTCAATTTGAAGTTCTCAATTCCACAAATGATCAGCTTGTGTCTTCCCATGCAAATTAATGTCCTTCCATGCAAATCAATGATAATATGCAAAAAGAGTAATGATTTCCTCATTAAATATGCTATAGTGACAACTAATTACTCCAACTCAAAACTGCAAACTCTTCTCTGAAAGTCTGCAGTATTGCCTGGGTGATCCTTCTTTTACCCTTTCTGTTTTTGATGTCAGCTCAAACCGCCTCAAGCGGAACAGCTGAACTACTCTGCATACAGTTAAGCTGTAAACTATTGACTTTAGGTTTCTCCTCTGACCAAAGCAGAAATCTTGCAAAGAGTCAGTCTCGTAAGGTAACGATCCCAATTTTTAGCGTGTTTAATCAATAGGTCTGAGCCTCCGGTCAGATGAAGTTCTTAGGCACCGTGCAACAACTTTTCCAGACAACGAGAACTTGGTTATAAAGGGAATGATGGGCATGAGACGGACATGTAACATTTGGCGCTAACGAGAAGGCAGTCAGGCACTACAGGTACGAGGCATGAGATGCTTTATCATGGCTCTGCCATGTGTGCTGGGTGTAGAAAGAGCGGTGTCTCAGCGCACGGCTTTCCTTCCTTTTTCTTAGATGTGGCAATCTTAAACTCTTTCAGGGATCCTTTGATCAAAATATTTATGTAGCTATCTACAAAACTTCAACTCTATTTTTACGGTCCCACTCATTTCAGTGCTTCCAGAACGACAGCAGATACCTTCCGCGCTTTTGCTTCTCTTGGGAAGAGCGCAGCGCGCTGACTGCGCTCCTGCTTTCTGAGTGCTGGCAGTCCCCGGAGGCCTTCACCCCGAAGGTGCAGCTTGTACGGGAGAGCGAGAAGGGCTCAGCTTGAGACAACCCCGGCTTCAAACAAAAGCTGGATGAAACCTCGCATATATTGCTTTCCGTAGGCGTCACACAAACACCGCTGCTGACCAGTCGGCCAAACGATAAACGTCCCTGGGATGAGCCCAGCAGGGACCACCTGGAAACCCTCTGCTTTCTGCTACTCGCGCCCGCCATAGAGGTCTCCCGGCAGTTCCCTCAAGAGAGGCTACATTAGCACTTGCATCTTGGTCCTAATCCAACTCCCGTACTGTGTTTATATTCAGTCTGCCTACTTTTCTCCCACAGTTTCAATTATGGTTTTGCGGAGTCTCATATTCGACTGTAGTACGTATTGATTTTGAAAACATTATTCTTCGGCATTCTGTGTTGCTGCAGGGAGTTGAAGTTGGATAAGTTGCGGACTCAAGAGGAATATATATATAAAAAAAAAAGATTTTACATCCTCTCACTTTCTAGCCTAGGTATTATTTGCTTACCGAGGAAATACGTTTTAAATAAAATAAAGTGACAATTCTGATTGTAATAATTACCAGCTTGACAACTGTCAGCAAAAACAGTGCTGTCTGCTGGTAGAGCTGCTCTTGCCACAAACTGGCAAGTTCTAGAGCAATTATAAACTAGGAATAGCGAGCTGGTCTTGATGAAAACAACTTTTGTTTTGTTTTGTTTTTTTTGCTATTTTTGGCTTCACATGGGATTTGTGCAGGTTTATAATATTCACCTGTTACACTAAACATACAGCATATATAGCTCAAGGCTGGAAAAATGCTCAGATTTTTGGCCTCTTTTGCACGTTATTAAATCCTTAAAATCCATTCCTTTTTTATTATTATTGTAATATGCTTTGCAGCTCAACGAAAACCTCACATAAACATTAAAAAATAACAACAGCAAAAACGTAACACTGTTAAGGAAAGCGACACAGAGTACGCAGCATTAAACCAGAAAAATCCAGCATCGTCTCTGCCTGAATACATACACCGTGTCCTAAAATTTACGGTCTGCTCGCTGGTGTGTTCTGAATTACCATGGGCTTATGATGAAGAAATTAACTCCTACCCGTTGTAATCTTGCATGGTTTTGTGCACTGCAGGCTTAATGGTGCTCTGCTGCTCATAGGACAAAAAAGAAAGAGAGCTTGCCTTCCAACAGGGTTTGGTCCTGTTCACACTGAAGTCAGTGAGAGGTCCGCTACTGGCTTCAAGAACGACAGGATACAACCTACTGTCACAATCACATTACGGAATTAATCAAATTCATCGTATTAAAAGTCTATGGAAACTGAATGGCTTTAGGACTTGAGGTTTCTAAATCTCCAGGCAGCAAATAATTGGATTATGGTAAAAATCTGCCTTTTCTATTAATACTATTGACAGAAGAATAAAAATACTAATGAGAAAACGTATACCGCATCAATGTTTTAAAAGGTCTGTTCTGCTACGCCGTACACAGTAAAATTTCCCTATGTTAGCACGCGACACAATTGTTACTCTCTGAAAACTTCAGGTAACAAATGGAGCAATTTAATTAGAAGACCTGAAAACAAACGGACCGTTTGCATCCTCTCCTTCTATGCCCCTCTATGCGAGTTTATTTCAAACGCAGTCGCTTGCGACCCTGACAGCAGGGTAGAAACTCGTAACTTGCCGGGCTGCGTGGAGGAGCGCCCCAGGACTCTGACCACGCCGCTGTAAAAGCACCGTTACAGACACCCAAGTGCTAACACCCTCACTATACTTCTCCGTTGAGAGCGGGGCTGTTGCGACCGCGCTGGGCGCAGCCCTTCTGCGCGCGGAAAGGGACTTCCTCAGCGTGATCAGGGCGCAGAGACGCACCAACGCAAATGAGTCATCCCGGGGCGGGGGCAAGCACGGGTACAACAGCGAGGAACCATCCTATTGCTTTATCTTTCAAGAGAAAACACGAACGTCCTGCGAACAACTAGCCTTTTCTCCCTTTGAAGCGTTAAACGAATGAAAGCGCTGAATCGCAAACGAGGGTCCCCTTTCGGCTCTGTTCATGACTACTCCGTTGGCTGCGCTATAAAAACATACGTATGCTTCCCAAGGCTTGCGAGGATAAAAATTAAAACAAACCCTCTCTAGGCGTACTCCGTTATACTGGGGATAAACGCCGCGTAGGCGAGACCTAAGGCTGTGGTCATGGCAACGCTTCCTTTCCGCGTGCAGCTCCCAGATCTCCAATGTGTTGATGTTTGCTTCAAGGATTACAAAGAAGGGAGGTCTATAAAGTCCCAGACTTCTAAGCAGCAGAAACATCTGCTGGGTAGAGAGAGCCCCAAGCAGCTTGCTCACTAAATCCAGCCATTTGGACTTTTTAGTTAATTCGGTTGCTCCAGATCAGGAGGTGTCACTGCCGCTAACAGGGAACATAACCGAATTGCAAACATCTGCGGGGAAATAATTCAAGATGGCACAAGACACAGTCAAGCAAGATACACAGCCTAACAACATCATAAAATCTTGACACCTCCAGAAGCGATCTGTGAAAAACCGGAGCGATTTGCAAAGTACATAGAACAAAAGCTCCGGCTCCTAGTCGTTTCACGGCAAACGGGGGAAAACGCTGCGATGATTAAAGCAGCTCCCTTCTCAAAGACTAGAAATAACCCTTAATATTAAATTTAAACGTGAGCAAGAATGAATGAGTGAGCGAGAAAGATAAAGATACTAATAAGGTATGATTTTCAGGTCCACACAGGGACTATAAAAAGCTTATTAACTGCCACTCTTGCCGCGTGTTTTAAGTTATTTTATCACTCAGCTTTACAGCAGAAGAAATACTGTAGAAGCAGCACTGTGCTTTGATTAATCACTTTCATACATACCCTTTTACAGAGCATTAAACATCGCCGTAAAGATCCGCAGTGAGTCAGACTTGTTTGTGATTACAGGCCAGGCTCATTTTACATTTATGTTAATAGCAGCATTAAACGAAATACATCTTTTACGTTTTCAGTGCTTTTCTGAATACCTACAAGGCTTGTTACTAAACGTTTACTTATCGGACAGAAGTACGCCACTGAGCGCTAATCCCAGGGGGACCAAAAGCTTCGTAAAAAGCTGAAAACCCTACAGAAAGGGGAGAAGGAGCTGCGGCAGGGGCCGCCGTCGCG